AGCTTCTGCTATTGTAAGTTCTTTGGAGCAGGATCGGCCCCTGACTGACCTTGGGATCCCTCAGAGCATCGAGCACACAGATGCTGCCAATAATATCACAAATGAGGAGGCAGAACAGGAGACGGGTGGAAAGGGGGAGGAGGCAGAGACAGTGAAAGGGAGGCGAGGGAAGCAGCAGCGAGGAGGTGGAAAATGGTCCACAGTGAAGAGAAAGGCCAGCGCGGAAAGGAGGGGAAAAGAGGAGTGAAAGGGAATAACGAGGAAAGAAACATTAAGTAAGAAATTACTGTTGTGCCTGTCCTCCTACTTCCTGGCATGTCCAAATCAGTCAATCTTTCTGGGCCTCATTTCTTCACATGTAAAAAAGGACACTTTGGAGTGGTCGTGAGGATTAAGGGTTAACGTATGTGAGGGCACTTAGAAAATGCCCGGCACACAGCAAGCCTGATGTAAGCCATTTGGTTAAAATGAAAGTTATCGCTAGAGAAACTAAGTAACTTGCCTGAGGTTATAAGGTTAATAAGGGCTGGAACCAAAATTCAAACCCAGGTGGCTCAGACTTGGTTCTTTTAATAGCCAAATGTATAGCCTCTCACATGTATGAAATGGAACAAGACTCTTACAGAGAAAGTTCTAGACATAAATGCATTAGCCCACTTCTGACTGTATTCATCAGTGTTAATTTGGTCAAACTGTATATTTTAGAAAGATATAACTGAGGCAGAAGGAAAGAAGTCTTGTGCTAGTTGCTAAAGAAGGATGAATTTTGAATAAAGGAATATGTTAGGAGGAGAAGGTTTGAGAACATTGGAGCATGTGGCTAGAGATACAAGGAAAAAATGGTACTCTAAAGTCTAAAGAAAGGAGGAACTCATCACTCAAAGATTTGGGCTACTGTTTTCTGAAAAACTGCAGAAACTTAATTGCAGTCAGGGGGCAAAAAAGGGGTTGATCCAAATTACAGTAAGTAAAAATGGTCCCATATTTTGACTGTGCTTATAGATAACAGTTCAACTATTTCCACAAATATCTCTAAATATAATAAAGGTGTCAAAAGATAGTTAAATGCTTACATAAGCATGAAGGAAATAATGCAAGTGAATGAATAAAGCTGTTTACACTGATCATCTCAGGGAATGAAATTTTCTAATTTTAATAAAGCATATCTTAATAACAGAAAATAAAATTTATAGAAGCAAACCAAAAGGGGAGGGGAAAATTGGAAATGAAATGAAAACCCTTAGACTCTGATAACAAGAACATTAAATGGTGCTGAACAGCCACTGAGGTTGTTAGAAATGACTCCTAATCAAGTTATCAATGTGTTCGTCTCTTAGAATATTTAATCTCATCTTCTCAAACTGGGTAGCCCAGGAATCAATACTACGAGGCAGAAAATTAATTTCCAAAATCATTTAAAAATTTCTTTATATGCTAAAGAATACTCAGAGAAAACAAAAATAATAAAAACACTGACAAAGAAAATAC